TGTTATAGTCTGAAGCAAAAATAAACAAGACATGAAGAAGGGATCTCCTTGAACGGTTTACCTAACACCAATAGACTGTTTTCTCTTTAGTGATTTAACCCTTCTTGACCAGAATTACGTGGGGTTACTACGTATATGGGCCAACCTTATGGTTCATTCCATTACGCTTAGAGCCAGTGAGTATGATCTCCATGGCATTTTCAAGCCTGGGACAATTGATCCCTCGGTACTGAGCTTATAGGTGGAGAAATGTGTTGCACTCAAGGTCCGAGGATATTGAACCTGAAGGGGAGCGTGCGGAGTCAGACCTTTTGGGTCCGAAGTGAACAAATAACTTCCCGGAGTTAAAACTAAGGAGGAATTATACTGAACCGGACGCTTAGGGTCCGAAGTGAATGAACTATTCCCCGGCGCTTAGCCTGAGGGGATGTTTTGCTGAACCTGACGCTTAGGGTCCGAAGCGAATGAATGACTCCCCGGCGCTGAGCCTGAAGGAATATTTTGCTGAACCAAATGCTTAGGGTCCGAAGCAAATGAATTACTCCCTAGCGCTGACCCTGAGGGGATGTTTTGCTGAACCGGACGCTTAGGGTCCGAAGTGAATGAACTATTCCATTGCGATGAGCCTGAGGGGATGTTTTACTGAATCGGATGCTTAGGGTCCGAAGCGAATGAATGATTCCCCGGCGCTGAGCCTGAGGGGATGTTTTGCTGAACTGGGCGCTTAGGGTCCGAAGCGAATGAATGACTCCTCGGCGCTGAGCCTGGGGGGATGTTTTGCTGAACCGGACGCTTAGGGTCCGAAGCGAATGAATGACTCCCCGGTGCTGAGACTGAGGGGATGTTTTGCTAAACCGGACGCTTAGGGTTCGAAGTGAATGAATGACTCCTCGGCGTAGGGCCTGAGGGGATGTTTTGCTGAACCGGACGCTTAGGGTTCGAAGTGAATGAATGACTCCTCGGCACTGAGCCTGAGGAGATGTTTTGCTGAACCGGACGCTTAGGGTCCGAAGTGAATGAATGACTCCCCGGCGCTGAGCCTGAGGGGATGTTTTGTTGAACTGGAAGCTTAGGGTCCGAAGCGAGTTTTGGAAGAATTTTTTTTTTTCTTTTCATTTACACATAGTTGGTCACGAGGCTGAGGATTTAGAAAATGATAAGAGGCCAAGAAAGAGAATAACAGTGGCTGTTTAGTCCCCAATTGTGTATTCGGGAGATTTTCTTCCACTGAAATTCTCTTCTTGGCGACCATATATGGTGGACTAGGTTTATATTAACCGTATCCCTTTTCTATTTATATTCGATATGGGACATAGATGAATATAAGCACAAAAAGGTCAGTGTAAGGAATGCCTCTGGTACTAGGCTTGTCTGCTTTCAATACCAGTGGGCCCTCTTTACACTACACTCAACTATTTTAATATTTCTATATATAATGGAATGCAAAACGTACTTTTTTATCAATGTGGGATTGAGACTAGCACTTTTCATATGGGCCATAGCTTGGGGTTCTTCTTTGTAAGAATGACGCATTATGGCTTTGATATTACGTCTTGGCACAAAAATTGCGTAATGCGTCTTGGCATAAAAATAATTGTTGGCATAAAAAATTTATGTAATGCGTCTTGGCATAAAAATAATTGTTGGCATAAAATGTGTCTAATGGTAGTACTTTTTAAGGTGTATTGCATTCCAAGGATGCGCAATGGGACGCCCGTCAGCTTCGGCCAAACGGTACTCGCCCTTCACCATTACTTTGGTAACCCTATAGGGTCCGACCCAATTAGGCTCGAGTTTCTTTACATGAGTCATCTCTTGCTTCAAAACCCAATTGCCTACTACAAAGCTTCTGAACCGGACACGTTTGTTATAGTTGCGACGCAACTGTTACTGATACGACGCAAGCCTAATTGTTGCAGCATCCCTCTTTTCATCCAGGAGATCAAGGCTATGTTTAAACTACTGCCCATTGTCTCTTTTAAGTAGTAGGGATGTCTGAAGCATTGGAACGGCTGCCTCAGTTGGGATCACAGCTTCGGATCCATAGGCCATGGCAAATGGACTCTCCCCATTGGGTCGTCGTGGAGTGGTCCGGTACACCCAAAGCACCTGAGGGAGATTCTCGTACCATTTTGTCTTAAGTTTCTCCAACTTCTTCTTTAGACAGCTAAAAATGGTATGGTCAGTTATTTCAGCTTGCCCATTCCCTTGTGGGTGACTGACTGCAGCCAGCTTCTGCACAATTCCATGTTCGGCGAAGCATTTTCTTGTACTCTTATTGTCAAGGTTTGTACCATTGTCCATCATAATGACCTTTGGTACCCCAAACCGGCAAATGATGTTGTTCCAAAGGAAGCTTTTTACCTGCTCATAGGTCATACTTGAATAAGCCTCGGCTTCCACCCATTTTGTGCAATAATCTGTAGCTAGCAGCGCGTATTCCTATTGTTCCACGGTCTTGGGTAAAGGGACCTGAGAACGACTTTCAGTACAATTGGTTGTTGATGATGGCATATTTAGTTGCGGTGAGTCTAAGCTTTCGTGCCTCAGTTTTTTGGTTTGGAAGAGTTCCATGCTTGAGGTAGGCTTCCATTGGATTAATCCAGCATGGTTCTCGCGGAATAACTGGAATCACCATTACCTCTTGCCGAGAATTGATGCTAGGTTTATCTAAGATGTTAATTGGCCCGATCCGAGTCAAATCTTCATTTGAAGACAATGCTGCTGTGGCCAATTGATGTGCTTCAGCATTCTCAACATGAGGTACTTGGTTGAATTCGATTTGATCAAACCCTCGTGTAATATTCTCCACAGCTTCCTTGTATGCTTTCATCCTTTTTTCTTTGGGGTGATATTGACCTGTCACTTGATTTATAACAAGCTGTGAGTCACTAAAAACTTTTAAACACCATACCTAAAGTTGGCTGGCCAATCGAAGACCAGCGATTAACACCTCATATTTGGCCTCATTGTTAGTAGCTGGGAAATTCATGCAAATTGACTGCTGCAATTTGGTGCCTTCGGGTGTTGATATAACAACACCAACTCCCGCACTTGTTTGGTTTGAGGAGCCATTGACCCGAAGCTCCCACTGTGGTTCAGGGAGTTCTGGTCCTTCGGGAGTGTCCTCATATAGAAAATCTGCTAAGGCTTGTCCCTTATGTGACATCTTCGGCTCATAGGTTATGTCGAAGGAACTGAGCTCAATGGCCCATTTGGTAATCCTTTTAGATAAATCTGGCTTAGAGAGTATACCCCGTATAGGGTAGTTGGTGAGTACCACGATGCTGTGAGATTCGAAATAATGTCGAAGTTTCCTCTTCGCATAAACCAAGGCTAGGATGATTTTCTCTACTTTGCTATAGCGTGTCTCTGCATCTGTCATTATCTTACTTGTGTAGAAGACTGGGTATTGACTCTTCCCTTCTTCTCTAATTAGTACTTCACATGTCGCTATGCTAGAAATTGCTAAGTACATAATAAGCACTTCTCCCAGTTTTGGAGCAGATAGAATTGGAGGTTTAGCCATATACTGCTTCAACTGGTTGAGGACCACTTGTTGTTGAGGTTCCCATATATCTTTGTTCTTAGATCTTATAGCATCGAAGAATGGTTTGCACTTATCTGATAATCAAGATATAAATCGACTAAGAGCTGCGATCCAACCGGTTAAAACTTGCACCTCCCTACGAGTTTTTGGTTCTTGATTTTGCATGAGAGCCTTAGCTTGAGCCGGGCTTACCTTTATCCCTCTTTTATTCATGATATGGCCGAGGAATTGACTTGACGATATCGTAAAGGAACATTTGGAAGGGTTCAACTTCATGTTGTACTTCTTCAGAGTGTCAAAGACTTTCTGGAGGTGCTTCGGATGGTCTTCTTTCTTTACACTTTTGACCACCATATCATCTATGTACGCTTCAACCATTTTTCCTAGAAAATTGTCGAAGATCTTGTTAACAAGGCGTTGATAAGTAGCCCCGGCATTCTTCAGCCCGAAGGGCATGACCTTGTAACAATAGGTACCCTTTTCTGTAATGAAAGCAGTTTTTTTTTTCATCCTCTGAATTCATAGGAATCTGATTATATCCTAAGTACGCATCGAGGAATGTGAGCCTCTCGTAGCCCGTAGTAGCATTTACCATCTGATCTATCTTTGGCAGAGGAAAACTATCTTTAAGGCAGGCTTTGTTAAGGTTGGTATAGTTTACGCAAACCCTCCACTTCCCATTCTTCTTTTGGACGACCACCACATTTGACAGCCATTGCGGATATTGCACCTCTCGGATGAAACCTGCTTGCAATAGCTTGTTCACCTCTTCAGCTATAATGCGATTACGTTCAGGGGCAAACCTTCAGTGTTTCTGCTTAATTGGTTTAAACTCTACATCCACCTTTAGGCTATGGTAGGAAACTAAAGGGTCGATCCTTACCATATCCGAATGATCCCAAGCAAAAACTTTCGAATTACTTCGAATGACGTTGATTAATGCTTCCTTCTCCTCAGGTGTGGAAGAAGAGCCTAGATAAGTAACCTTCTGAGGATCGCTGAGGATAACTTCTACGGCTTCGAGTATCTCCTCGATAGGCTTTGCAGCTTCTTCTTCCTCCTCTACCTTCAGATACTTGGGCAGAGGACTCTGTAATTGCTATTTGGGTGTAGTTTTGGCAGTCATGCTTAGTTGAGGCTATTTAGGGAACCTCCTTGCTTTAGCCTGCGACAGCATATAGCATTCTTTCGCAACGACTTGATCTCCCCATAGGTTAATAACCTCTTTGCCATCCGGAGACAAGCACCGCATCACCTGATGAAGGGTGGACGGGACTCTATTCATTCGGTGTATCCAACCTCTTTCCATGATGATATTATAAGAAGGGTGTATCTCTGTTAAGACAAAGTTCTCCTTCAGAGTCTTCTTTGCTACAATTACAGATAAGTTAATTACCCCAAGGGGATCTACTTTCGTGCCATCGAACCCCATCAACGGGCTAGAAGTAGATCACATTGATGATGATGGGATCTCGAGCTGCTCAAAAATTGACTTTGTGATGATGTTGGCACTACTCCCTGGGTCTATCAAAACCCTCTTAATCACACAATTCGCCACTAAGAGACTGATGACCAATTGATACTCGTGGGGAAGTTGAACTTTGGATAGGTCGCCATTGCCGAATCCAATACTAATGCTGCCCGAAACGATGGCATTGACTGAGGATATCTTTCTGAGCTTATGGGCTGCTCTCAATCTGGATCTGAATACCACCTTAGATTCTTGATCATCTTCAGATCTGCCATGTATTGCGTGAATGACTTTTGTTTGATTACCCTCTACTTTCTGAGGGTTGAGTTCACGGGGCTTCACATACTCCTTTGTCATGAGATAATCTGCCAATTCACCTCTAGCTATCATGCTCTCCACTTGTCGCCTAAGGGATCTAAAATCATTGGTTGAATGCCCATAATCATGATGATAAGCGCAATGTTTACTTTTGTCCCTCTGCTCTAAGGGTTACTTCATTGGCTGCGGTGCTGTGAACCGCATCTTATTCTCTTGGAAGAGCCGAGCCAGGGTCGTTCGGAGAGGTGTGAATCATTTCTCTATCCTTTGCCTCTTCTTGGGTGCCTAGGTGATTGGCGTTAAGGTGTGTTGGCTTTTCTGGATTTTTGAATTTGGAATTCTCTCCCGAGGCTTGTTCTCCACTGCCACGAGGGTAGCATGCTGTGCTCGGTGGGCTACATTCTCTTCGAACCGGATGTAAATTTGGGCCCTGGCATTAAGAGTCTGCATATCCGGAGGAGAATACTTGACCAAAGAAGTATGAAACTTCATCCCTTGAATCATTACAAGTTTGAATGTCTCTATAGCGGTTGCGGGATGACAATCTACTATTTGCGAGGCTTCCATGTTGAATCTGGACAAGAAATCCTGCAGTGATTCTCCTTTCTTTTGCTTTATGGTGAAGAGGCTAGCAATACTCTTCTTTTGCTTCTTATTTCAACAGTATTGTGCTAGGAATATAGTGCACAAAAGTTACGTAATCCGGGATGGATTTGTGTGGCCTATTCCTGAACCACTCGAATGCAGCTCCTGTCAGACTGGTAGGAAAAACTCTGCACATCCATGGATCATTACGATCGTCCAAGGCCATCTTTTAGGCATAGTGATCCAAGTGCCGAGAAGGATCTCCCGTACCATCAAACTGAGTAAAAGAAGGCATGGTGAATTTCTTGGGCCTCTCGACCATATACACATCGTCAGTAAAATAAGTCTTCACCAAGGAGTTTTTGTGCTCTCTGGCCATCTCAGCGGGTGTTTGAATCTTCAGGAGTCTTTTCTCATTAAAGGCATCCTGTACACCCGCACCATCTGGAATACCATTGGACCACACCATATGTTTACGGCTAGACTCGGCTTATTCATCCTAAGTGCGGCGAGGGAAGTTGTCCGAAGCAATTGCCTCGGTCCTTGTCCTCTGTTGTTGCTAAACCTCATTTGGCTGAGCCTCGGTGGGTCGTGCCCAATTAAGTTGAGGTTCATTAACCAGAGGGATATTCTGATTATGGGGTGGTGCTGTTGTATCACCTGGTGGCGGCAGTGGTGTCAACTGATCCACCGCCGTTTGAAGAGTGTTGTTCTGTTACTGTAGCAAGGCGATCTGGGCCACGCTAGCTTCGTTTGTTTGACGAAGCACTTCAAATTGGTGCAGAAACTCTTCACGCATCTTCTGCATCAATTCCATTTGCTGATCTCTGTTCGACATTCTGTGGTAGTAGGAAAAATCAATAAAAATAAACATAGGAATATATTTGCATACACTTCCCACATACGGTGCCAAAGTGTAGGTGCAAAATTTTGCTCAACCAAAAAGGTGAAGCAAACGTGGTAGTAGCAAGGCGATCCTCCGTGGTAGTAGTAAGGCGATCCTCCGTTCGACATTCCAGATGGTAGTAGTAAAAATCACTTGAAACAAACGTAGGAATATATTTGCATACACTTCCCACATACGGCGCCAAAGTGTAGGTGCAAAATTTCGCTCAACCAAAAAGGATTGAGAAAAATAAAACAACTCACTTAATAAGCAACAAAAATAAATAAGAACAGTATATAGAAAAGCGTATGATTGCTTGGATGCTTTTATTTGGAGGTCTGGGCCTCTATTTATACACAAAAATTGGTAGAATTATTATAGGACTCGCGTTGCTTGTCCTCCAATTCTTTCCATACAAGACTTTCTTTACAAATAGAGTTCTTTCTATTGTATAATATTTCCTATGTAAAATTTGTTTTGTAAAAAAACTTCCTATCAAAGAATTCTCCTTTTATGATAAATCTTTCCTTTGATAGGACTTGTTCAATCTTGGAGAACTGGGCTGAATATACCTTGAACAAGTTGTAACATATTGGGCTGATAATTTCTTGATCTGACCTTCTGCAGGGCTGAATGTCAAATAACAATACTATTGGGCTTGTGAGCAGCGATCTTGGACTAGTACCAAACTCTATTTGGGTTTATGCGAGGTGGGCTTCATAAACTCATCATAGATAGGTTTATAATTATGATAACGTGGATTATTCTCATTGGAGGGAGATTTTTCCCTCCACAGGCACCTATGACTCGACTTACTCGCAAGGGAGTAAAGTTCATATGGAATGAGGCTTGTAATTTTGCTTTTCAGGAGTTGAAGATCAGATTGACATGAGCTCCAGTTTTGATCATACCTGAATGTGGTTTAGGTTACGTGGTCTATTGTGATGCTTCGCGAGAAGGTTTAGGGTGTGTTCTAATGTAGACTGAATAGGTAGTAGCTTATGGGTCTCAACAGTTGAAGACTCACGAGTTAAACTATCAGACACATGATTTGGAATTGGCAGCAGTTATCTTTGCCCTGAAAGGGTGGAGACATTATTTATACGGGGAGAAGTTCGAGGTTTTCTTCAATCACAAGAGTCTCAGATATCTCTTCTCTCAGAAGGCTTCGAATTTAAGACAGTGCAGGTCGAGTTCATGGGGTACTACAACTTTGAGTTACAGTATCATCCGGGAAAGGCCAACGTGGTGACCGATGCATTGAGTATGAACTCAAGGAGTACTCTTGCTAGCATTTTCGTCCACAGATGGAAGATGTTAGAAGTGCTTGTAGATCTTGGTTTGCAGTCGTACGAGGATGTTTCACCGGCTATTTTGTTTCATTTTGTGGCTCAACCGGTTCTTGTTAACAGAGTTATTGAGGCACAGCAGGAGGACAGGGAGATGAGGTCCATCCACCATTGGATTTCGGATGGCGAGAATATAGATAGTTGGACCTTACATTCAAATGGTGGTCTCAGGTACAGGGGAAAGATATTTGTTCCTTTGTCTTATCATGACATTATTCTTTGGGATTTTTACCATTCTTGACTCACAGTTCATCCTGGTGGTACGAAGATGTATTACAATTTGCGGAGACAGTTATGGTGGAAAGGCATGAAACGGGATATTTCTCAATTCGTGGCTAAATGCTTACTTGTCAACAAGTTAAAGCAGAGCATCAGAGACCGACAGTTTTGTTCTAACCACTACCAGTGGCAGAATGGAAATGGGAGCACATCACTATGGATTTCGTGATGGGACTTCCGAGATCCAAGATAGGGAATGATGCCATTTGGGTCATTGTTGTCAGATTGACTAAGACAGCTCACTTTTTGCCTATGGCAGTGACAGATAACACAGAGAGACTTAGTGGATTGTATGTGGGGTAGATTGTTAGGCTTCACGGGGTTCCATTATCCATTGTTTCGGATAGGGATCCCAGATTCACGTCTCACTTTTAGCAGAGTTTTTAGGAGGCTTTTGACCCGGGGCTTCATTTTAGCACGGCATTCCATCCTTAGAATGATGGTCAGTCGGAGCGTACCATTCAAATATTGGAGGATATGCTATGGGCTTGCATCTTGGATTTTGGGGGTAGTTGGGAAGACTACTTACCTTTGATTGAGTTTGCGTACAACAATAGTTACCAGACCAGTATTGGCATGGCACCTTTTGAGGCATTGTATGGGAAACCTTGCAGATCTCCAATTTGTTGGACCAAGGTAGGTGATACAATCACCTTGGGTCCTGACATTATCTTTGAGACTATAGAGAATATTAAGTTGATTCGACAGTGGTTGGCAACAGCTCAGAGCAGGCAGAAAAGTTATGCTGACAGGAGGAGGAGATCCTTGTCTTTTGAGGTAGGGGACCACGTCTTTCTCAAGATTTCTCCCTGGAAGGGACTTTTGAGATTTCAATAGATGGGAAAGTTGTCTCCTAGGTTCATTGGACCATTTCAGATTTTGGAGGGCATCGGAGAAGTTGCTTATCGTTTAGTGTTGTTGCCAGACCTGGATAGGGTTCACGACGTCTTTCATGTCTCTATGTTAAGGAAGTAAGAGCCGGATCCATCGCATGTTTTACGACGGACAGATGTTGTTGTTGATGAGGACGTGACTTACGAGGAGGGTCTAGTCCAGATTCTTAATTCACGGGAGCAGTTCTTGTGAACCAAGACTATTTCATTGGTTAAGGTCTTGTAGAGACATCACGGCGTTGAGGAGGCTACTTGGGAGCTCAAACAAGAGGTTTGCTCTCGGTATCCCAATTTGTTCTCTTTTTCAAGTACGACTTGATTTCAGGGACGAAATCCTTTTAAGGAGGGTAAGTTGTAATGACCCGGTCATTTTCTTTCCTTTCCTTTTACGGTGATTTCCTTTTTTCGTCCTTTTCCCTTTTTCTTCTTTTTCCCGTTTATCGTTTGTCCTTGCATAACCTCACTTTTCGTACTTGGATTTGATTTCGGCTTTGCATGCATCTATGATATTTGATTTCCATGATATTTGTATTTTTACTTTTGTAGAAAAACATGCTAGTTGCTTTCTTTTTCGTAAAGGATATGGATGCTTACTTTCTTAGAAACATTCTTGATTTTTGGGGTTTTAGTGTAATTATGTAAAATAATTATTTTTGGTCTTGGGGACCATTTTACAATTTAACATGGAAGATATTTTGGAAAAGAATCTTTTTACAATTTTTGGAAAGTGTGACAAGTGTCACACTCTCATGGAGCCACTTGTTGGCATTGGGGTGGAGTCACTTAGAAGCATTATCTTGTGACATATGGAGGTTGGAGATTCACCCACTTATTGGCCTAGGATAGGTGAACTTGTTGGCTTGGATGGTTGACAAGTGTAGGCTTAGGATTAAGCCTAGGAAGGAACCATAGATTGGTGACAAGAATAGGCACCAAATTGAGTCTTGCATTGAGTGTGTGTGAGAGGTAGTGTAAGAACACCTAGTGAGTGGAGGAATACTAGATCCTCCACCCACCTCATTTCATTTTATCTTATCTTTATTCCCTTTGCTCTCAATACAAACCTAACCTCCATTGAAG